CCTCCCATACAGCCACATCCAGGATCTCGGAGAGGCGGCCACATAGCACTCTTTGTGACTCAAATGCTCTGATCCACCCTGCCCTTCTTTACAAGGGGGAGAAAGGAGCCAGGACTGCGGAATGGCAACCATTAACTACTGCAATGACTAGCTCCTCTTGGTTCCTTGCTAAAATCTTCTCTATTCTAATAGCTAAAACCCTGGGAGATATAAGGCCAAGCTACAGAGGGATGCGAGGCAGACCACCACCTGCCCCTGTTTCTAACAGGGATCAAATCTCATCTGAAGAGACGGGGAACCTCCAGCAGGGACAGAACAGCCAAAGAGATCTAGAAGTCCACTCGAAGACAGGAATTCCACAGGACGTGCTCCATTTCCACAACACTTCTTAGACTTTCAGATGCCGCCTTCCCTGAAAGGCGAAAGGTACAGAACAGAGTTAGCAGTGAGGCATCAAACAGCAGCACATGCTCAGCACAAACAGCACCGCAGGCTCACCAGCACAAAAGCAATGGCCATTCAGATGTTGCAGACCAGATTATTTGGCAACACCCACCCCACCCGCTACCCCATGCAGACTCTTTCCTCCAGTTCAGAACAAGTGGAAAGGACCCACTAGGAGCAAAAGAGCACTTCCCCGAGTTGCATTCACAGCTTATCACCCAGTTTGTCCACTTCAAAAGCCATCATCCAGTCACAGCTAGAGTCACTCCCAGCAGTCTGCAGAGAGCACCTAAAAGCTCTGCCCCAGGCAGTTTCTGTTATGGAAGCCCAAAAGCTCCTAAGTTATAGGTCAGCTGCATCAGGACAGACTCCACCTGAAGATCAGTAACATGTCGCATCATTTTTCCCCAGAAGCAGAGATTTATATGAAGCTGAAGTTTTCTTTCCTCTCACAACCACATCAACACCTTTTATCAACCCCTGCTAAAAAATGAAGGGGCAAAATTACAGCAGAAAGATCACCTAACATGCCTGCATCATACTCCCAAGCCCATCAGCTGCTGTTTCTCTTTATCAAAACTGCAGAGCCAGGGATAAAGTCGCTTTCAATCAAAAAAGTAACAATACCAGCGGCAAAGCAATACAAAGTCACAACATAAACGTTCTTCCATTTCCCCTGTGCAACACAGTGACACTGCTCCGCTCCCCGATGCAGCTGGTTGCAATTCTTGATGGAGGTGGACATCGGTGCTTGGCATTCAATGATAATAATCATCGTAACAACTCATGACAGAGTTTTCCACCCTGAAGTTCTGTAACTAAGTGATGTGGCAAGGAAAGGAAAATCATACAACTGTAGAGAAATGAGCATAGGGAATAATTTGCCATGCTGGCATACTGCAATTACAAACCCACTGTATTACATCCTTTGCTAACACTCCTTAAAACAGTCTTTAACTGCAGAGTCAGGAAAAAAGGATGCCTCTATTTCTTCCCCCTGCCCAATATCACCAGTGAACAAAATAGCTACTTTTCATTCACTGTGACTGTGCACCTCAGGACCCTTGACTAAGGGAATGAATATGTCCTTCCTATGGAGCACGCCCTGCCTTTAGTCATTGCCATTTCTGACTTCTCCAATTCTCTAAAAGGAAAGTCTGGGCTTACAAAGCAAAGGTTATGTATGTACCAAACTGAGGTCTCATTGCCACGTCCGTTCAACCCCCAGAGCAGTGTGAAGCACCAAAAGTGTAGCCAAAGTTTGCTTTTCACCACCGTTATATTAACACGCTCCTTTTAGGATGATGAGGATACCAGACACACATATAGCACAGGCTGAAAACCTCATTGTTTGGATTTCTTATGCACCCTGTTGAGTAACTCCACCTGAATAATTTTAAAAGTCTGACAGACAAAACGCTCAGTTACTTATTTACTCCTAAACAAGCAGAGTGCTCATGCCAAGTTAAATGCCTTCCACTCTGAAGATTCATTTAAAACACAGAAAAAACAGCCCACTCGCCTGGGTGATAGGAGTGAAGAGGAAAGCTTAGATTCGCTCAGAGAAAGATAAGCGTGTTTTCTCTTGCCGAAAGATGTAAACCAGAGTCTCCTTAATTGCCTAGTGCTGTTCCACAAACTTCAGTTCCTTAAATACCATCTCCAAGCATTCACCTCTTTTTGCCTCAGCAGTACCTAAACAAATACAGAAACCCAGGAATGTGGGGAAAGCAGACCTCAAACCCACTGCACACAAAGTTATCTGTGAGGAAGAACCGTGCATTAGAAACTACCTGAATTGCAAACCATTCAAATCTGAAAGGCAGCCACCCACAGCCTGAACCAAAGATGGTCCAGGGTGGTGCACAGAGTCATGTCTAGGGGAGTACGTTGGGTCTCAAAGCAAGGGGCACAGGTCCAAGCCTAGCAGCTAATGCTGTGTTCTGCTTCCCTCTTCTTCATGTCAGTGTTAGAGCCAGACTCACTTCGCTTGCTTTACATTGCATCAGTATTGGCCTAACTGCTTCATGCAATGGGGATGAGTGGGTGTTCCAGTGCAAGGGTCAAGAAGCTATTTCCCTGATCCTTTCAAAGCTGTGGAAAAATTTCTCTCCTCTGAGCGCCAGCTGGCTACAAGAAAAGACTATCAGAGCTTGAGCAAGTGTGGGTCACTGGCCTCTCTGACCTGCCTCGATACAAGAGTGCCTGGGGAGCTTACCTCGCCCTAGCCTGATGGAAGGTTTGTTTCTTTTCACAACAAAAGTGCTTTTAAAAGGCACGAAAGTGCTCAAGTCCTTTCCGTCCGGGGCTCAGTGATGAGTACGCTTTTCATTAGACAGCTAATCTCCCTTGTCCCATCTAGTTATCGGCAGCAGGAGGATACTGCAGTGTCAAGTCCAGATGCAACTGCAGATCTGAGGTTTGCAGGACACTGCTGAAAGCGCATTTCTCAGTGCCACGCATTCCCTTCCAGCCCATCCATGGTTCTACCGAACCATACTAGACTGGAAATTCGCAGCAGGGAGTAAGAGGGCACTGGAGAAGACCCTGAGCCCAAACACCTCTCAAAGCCAGAATCATACCCAATCCCCATGCTGCCCCCAACTTCGTAGACTTAGGCCACCACCACCAGCCCACCGCCTAACGCAGCTGCATCCCTCTAGGTACCAGCTGTGCTTCCCAGGGGGGAATTTCGTGTAAGCGCCTCTTATCTCCGCTGCTCCAGGCCCCGTTCATCTCTTTCCCCTCCCTCGTTTGTCCCCTTGGCCCTCCCGGTCCCCGGCCAGACAGGCGACAGCCCGCCCCATGTGCCCGGCCAGCCGGGGGGGGCGGCCGCCCGTTACCTGGTTCCCAAAGACAGCGATGGAGCAGGCAGTGGAGACCTCGTGGGAGCCAAACCAGACAGAGGCGATGCGTGAGGGCATGCCCAAGATGAAGACCTGGGCCAGGGAGCAGATGACCTGCCCCAGGACGGTGATGGGGAAGAGGTGCGGCTTCAGGCTACCCAGCTTCACCCAGGCGCCCAGGGCGTTGAGGGCCGAGCCGACCAGGGCGATGAGGCGCAGGCCCCTCTTGTCCAGCAGCCAAGCGACGGGGAAGAGCAGG